TTGACAGGGGGAATAGTTATGTTGACATTATTCCCTTCCCGTTCATTCTCATCTTGATTCTGAGGATTGTGTCGAGTGAGTTCTCCTTGATGAGTTGTAAGAGCCACGATTTGCTGGCCATGCATCTCTCTCATCTGTTGCACGGCCATCTCCATCTCGAATTTGAAAGCTTCCTTCTGCTTAGCCAGGGCATCTTCAAGCATCTTGGTTATTTGTTCCGCGCTGATCATGAGCACCTCACGGGGTTGTCCCTCGCTGGATACCGTGTTGTCCGATGCAATCGCAGAGCAGGCATCTGATCCTTCATCTTCTGACGGTGATCTCGTCCGGACCCTACCATAAGTCCCTCGCATAATGGTTCCAGACTACCGACGAGTTAAATACCAGGGTACTAGCGGAATTGACTCGGGATTATCCCCTGTCGATGCCCCTTTGCCGGTCATATTCGTTGTGACCTTTGGAAATTCCCCATCTTCGACTATCCTTCTTCTTCGTCGGAAACGCCTAGGCTTGGATTCAGGCGTTGCGGTGGAAATTCTCTCGAACACCGAAACTCTCCTTGGGGCTTTAGAACAACAGCATTCCGACAATACCGCCTTAATTATGGTGGCACACGGATAGTGAGACTCCGTGTCTCGAGCATTTCGCTTCCAAGACTTACCCGCACCCCCAGCTCTATAGTACAACTCATCAGCTTGATAACTGGAGCAACCCATAGAGTGTTGGCACGACTTCCCAGGTATAACACTATCATCATCAGACGAATGTGCTTCCTTCTGGGGATATGACGCTTTATTAGCATTCTCAAAAGTCGCTCGTTCAAGTCTACGCTTTTGTGAGCGTAAAAACTTAACGGTCTCTTGAACTTCGACACGCAACCCGATGCGGTCGGCAATAGGGGTTTTCCCTTTGTTATTTTCCTTGGGGGGATTAGAACAACCCAAAGTCGGGTTTATCATTTGGGGACCTTTCAACGGACCTAATCGCTCTTTGATAGGTACTTTACCTCGATTCCCCGGTAAGGGACCGAGGCGACCTTTCAAAGGGACCCTGGATGTTGAAGGATCTGTGTTCTTACCTGACTCCACCGGAGGTGCGGGGGCAAGGGGAACGGGACCTGGATTTGATGAAGGTTGGGCAGCAACATCTTCAGCTCTTGTCTTAGGCGCTGGCTTTGTCTTTAGCACCCATACCTGCTTGAGCTTTGACGGGTTCTTAACCGCCTCTTCTTTCTGCATCTCCTCCGCTTTTTGTAGGAGAGCTCGGGCATGCGCGAGCAATGCACGGCGCTTCTTGATTCGCTCTTCGAGGGTTGAGCGAGTCCTCGTGACACGAACCCAATCGTTCGTTTCTGCCTTGGGAGAGGAGTTGCTTACGTACAGTTGTTGCTCTTGGCGCTGCCTGGATTTGAGATCTTCATTGTAGCGGATCCCGTCCATCGGCTCCAAATCCTTGGCCATCTGACGAGCAAGGCGTTGACGCCGTCTTTGGCGCGTCCTCTTTGACACAGCTGGAGCATCTTCAGTAGCCATCTTCTTGGCGGAGGAGAAGCCCAGATCTGCGATCTCGACCACGTTGGACGACGCGGGGACGTCACGTGGTGCGAGTGCAGCGACGGCAAGGGGCTCTTGGGTCTTTGAGCCGAGGATCCCACGAACGTTTCTGGAGGAGGATGCCTTCCTGCGCCTGTTCGGAGAGGCGGATCTGGAGGAGGAGGAAGAGAGGTACTCTTCGAACTTTTGCTGATCGAACTCGTATTCGATCTCTTCATTTTTATAAGACCTCCTCGTGCAACAAAACAAAGATTACAACTTTATCGAAAATAAACACGAGATCCCGTTTTGGTGCGGTCTCGTTTTGCGTGGGTCTTTGGCCTGTGACGGGGACGTTGATATCCGTGGACCACCGGGCACTCAAATCTGCTCCGAAAGAATCGGACAGAGCTTCGTTGATCCGCGTGAGATCTAGAAGCCTGAAGCGTCTATCTCGGCTAAAACGAGATATCAGCTCTTCTTAGTGATTACCGGCGAAGGGTAATACTAAGGAAAGGGGGGAATGGGTGATGAAGACTCTGATGAAGACCTCTCCTCCTCAGTTGAAGCGCTCGACCACTCTTTGCTGCAGCAGGGCTTCGCCTTTCTCCCCAAAATCCAGATCTACAAAAATGAGGTAAGGGGGTGGCTATTTATAGGCCATGGGGAGCACCTAGGGTGCCTAGACACCCTAGGGTGCCTAGACACCCTAGGGTGTCTCAAGAAATCCGAGACACCCCTAGGGTGTCTCGGAATTTCCGAGACACCCTTGGGGTGTCTCGGAATTTCCGAGACACCCCTGGGGTGTCTCGGAATTTCTGAGACACCCCTGGGGGTGTTTTGGAACTCCTGAGACGTCCGTAGGTGCATTCGATCGTTTTCGTCGTAGATCCTTCGTCCGAACTCGGATTTGACTGATTCCAAGTGCGTTGGATGCTTGACGAAGAGTTCGATCCGCTCTGGTGGTTGGATTGTCTGTAGAGTGATCGAGGCATGAAGGGCGTCGTCCTTTTTGTGAACACCGCCGGGTTCCCGATTGGTCCGGGTCTTCGTTGTTCCGAAATCCTATCAGCTCACGTAGCTCGTCGATTCACTTCAGTCGTTCGTCGACGTCAATTAGACTCTTGTGGATCGGATAGTGACGTTCATCGTCGCTCTTTAACACTGAACCGTTCGTGGAGACCTATAGGCAATTTTCGATGCCTACATGAATATAGCATAATAAGTGGTAAAATATATATATAAACTCCATCCATGAAAAGGCGGGTAACATACTAATACGGGCAAGGATTTTCAAAATTTCTCTCTCCGCTATGATCTTCATAAATTATAGTGAGTTGAGCATTAAAAGCACGAGAAACAATTCTTGACGCTCACTTTCTTCTTCTTTTGTATACATGTTTGTCTGAATGATGTTGACTATCGGTTTGAATGGTGTTTTATCTATGAAAATAATGTATATGAGGTGGGGCTCTTTTTTCATAAATGAGATATCAAGCCATAATAATGATATCAAGCCATAATAATTATGTAGTGAGGTTCATCTTACTAGATACATTAACCTGTGTGAACCTCACAACTCTATCTCTTAGTAGCTTATTTAGCAAATTGAGCCGCCATCTCATACCTATTATTCCCTTTTGAATCATATTAGTTGATGCTACTTTGCTATCATATCTATAGTTACTTTCAAACAAATTTAGTGTATGTTTTTTGATAACTCATCCAGAATAGAATCGAAGACCGTAGGAGCTATATTTGGATTTTCAGAAGTTCGGGTCACCAACAATGAGGAAAATAGTGTATTTATATTTTGAATTGCAAAATGACCTCCTCCCTCTCTTAAATTGAGGGATGATAAGTACTTATTTAGTAGTCACTCTTTAAAAAAATTCAGACCGGATAAAAAAGAAACATATGCTAATAAGGTGAGTCCAGACTATTTTAAATGACATCTTCACTATAAAAAACAAACAAACAAACACGGCCTAAAAAAAAAGTAAAGAATGATAAATCAGACTTAACACCAGATGATAAGATTTATTTGAAATATAACAGTTATATTTTCACACCTGCTATAGATATAGCAATTTCATTAGAGTATGCCAAATATGAATAATACATTGCATTATGTAAATTTTGTTAAATTTAAGTTAAAACCCAAAACCCATCTTTTTTTCTTTTTTTATTTACTAGCGTGCATCCAGTGCAAAGCACGACCACCTATTTTTTAAGCACTGCATTTTAAAACTTGCATCCCTTTAAATTTTAATACATTTGATTTAATTATTGCATGCTTAAAATTAGAAATCATATCTACTCCTCTATACTTAAAAGAAAGATCCAAGTTTTAATACATTTAATTTAAAAACCATATCCACTCCTCTATAATTAAAAAATGATCCAAATTTTTAAACATTTGATTTGCTTTACTACTTACGATACAGTAAATTACTGTAACATAAATAGTAACTTCAAGTATAGAGGAGCAGATTTGATTCAATCTTTAAGCTACAGCTAAATAATGTAGCATGTACAGTAACTTCGAATGAGGAGGACTAACTTTGCCTTGCCGTTTAAGCTATAGTATTTATTGTAGCATTAGTATAGCATGGACAATAATCCTTTCAATTCTTATAAGCATAGGCGTGTAGATTTATCCGCAAAGCCATCTTCTTCTTTATTGCGTGCTAATCATCAACTCAACTGATAAGCACATCGCCGGAACAAAATTCTTCATTATCCTCACTTCGCTGAAGTTTCCCTCTCCAAATATATAACCACCAAAAAATCAAACCCCAGAACTCCAAAATGAAAACACAGTAACCACCAAAAAAATCAAACCCCAGCGACTCCGAAATGAAAACACAGTCCCAAACCCCTTCCGCCCTCCTCCTCCTCCTCCTCTTTCTCCACCTCCTTCCCCTTCCCTCTCTCTCCACCACCTCCTTCCATTTCCGCCCCCAAGACAACTACCTCCTCAGCGGTGGGCCCCACCTCCCCTCTCCTCTCTCGAATCCAACGGCCCACATTACCGCACCAACTTCCCACCCAACGCCCCTCTCTCTTCTCTCTTCCCCTCTCTCCCGCGGTCGCGCACCTCCTCCGCTCCCCTCCGTCCTCCTCCTCGGACCGCCCGTCTCGCCTTATCGCCTCACTCTTGCCCCTCTGCACCGATTCCCTACCTCGGCGGAACTGCTGGAACCACCGCCAAGAATTCCTCTTCCCCAACCTCCGCCTCCCCTCCCTCCCCCTCTCGCTGTCCCCGCCCTCCTCGTATCCCCCGCTCGAGCTCTACTCCTTACGCCGACGGCCTCTTCCATCGCTGGTGGCGAGGCCCACGTCGCTGGAAGGTGGTCCACCGGTGTGAATGTCGGTCGGTCCCCGGCGGTGAGCGCCGGATAATGATACGCTGTGGAGACGTTGGAGGCTGGATGAAGGGGTATTATGTTGGGGGTGGGAGGGGAAGGGAGGCGAGGTTCTTGGGGAGGTTGAATTGGGCCGAGGGAGGTGCGACACCTGATACGGCGCCGGAGACTGTGTATGGGACATGCCGGGAGATGGGCATCAGAGGTAATTTTTTGCCGATCTAATCTCCTCCCCTTCTCTTTTTTTTTTTCTTCCCCTTTTAGGGCTGATTGCATAGGCATGATTGAACCTCTTGACGTCCAAATGGAGTTATGTCTGTACTATTTGTTCTAGTTATGTTCTTGTTACATGATTTCAATACGTTGCATAGAGATTCCCTTGTATTTCTGTGTTCTTCAGAGAGACCTCAGTTGTATTAGTGCTGATAATGGAAGATAACTCCGTGTGAGCCCAAAGAGTTTAAATCTTTTTTAAAAAAGTTTTTAGGGGTAGTAAATGGCTAACCCTTATAGTACATGGAATGTATCTGTAATTAACCCTTTTTGCCGATGTTTTGGTGGACTTGATTAGTCATTTCCTTTACCTTCTTCTCTAATAATTATTAGTATATATTTAAAAAAAATGCAGCCTTTTAGTCCTCTTTTTTGGTGTTCTACACTTAGTTTGTCACAATATCTATAAATTCCAGTAAATGGCCTCTCAAATTACCGTCCTCCAAAATTACTGCCAAGGGCAAACTTGGAAATCCCTGAAAAACCTATTTCGGTTTCGGGGTTGTGATTGTGGTCTTCATCTTATTGCATGTTCTCTCAACTGTAAGCAATCGGATGCTGTACAGAGAGTAGCTTCTCTCAAATGTAAGCGATGTCAAGCCATCTCCTCCTCTCTATTCCATAATCTCATTAGCTTTATTTAGTCAAGTTTTTACGGTACTTAGTAAACTGAAATGTGCATCAAATGAAATTGGGTATTTTAGAATCAAAGTTTATTCTGATATCTAAAGTTTGAATGAAAATAGAGATATGTAACATTGATGCAAGAAGCAGTTTCCATCATGAATACTTTTTAGAAAACCTTTTTTTTTATTTTTAAAATAATGGTAAATCAAACATAAAGTTTATGCGCTAAATTAATGAGTGATTTTGAATTAATGAGTTCTACATTGGAGATTCTTCTTATTAATCCATTACATGATATTTTCCATGGACATGTCTTTAGATTTCACAATAGGATTATCATTTAGTATTTCAATCATGAAATTGGTCAATGCGCTTTCTGTTTATCTACATGGATGGATTTTTCTATAAAGTTTTTTCTTTAAATTTTAGTATAAAATGCATGTAATTCATGATTTTTTAATCTAATGATATACAACTCTTTTTATACTATAGTTACTATTAATCTGTCTAAAGTAAGTTATGTAATTTGTACGGCATATGGAGCACACATACAAATTGGATTGACGAATATGACTATGAGAGAATAAATTATGTATAATCCATAAATCTGGCTTACCTTCGACCTGAATCACTTTTTACAATATTGTTTTATACACCTATTTATATTAACATAGGTGTTAAATAGTATTTTTTTTAATTTTGTACGAATATATACTATGTCAGGCATGCATCGTGTGCAGTCGAGTACTAGTTTTGTGTTAACGGAAGAATAATTGTTAATTTCTTTCTTTATTATTCTTAACTCGTAAAGAGTTGGACAAATAAATCCCTCATTCTGAGAGTTTTAACTATTGGCATTATGTGGAGAAGAGTTATCTTAATCAGTTTGTAATATTTGCGTGTGACAAGTTATGATGAGTTAACTCATTTAATTCCTTTGAAATTTTTTTATTTGACAATTTAAAATGGTGTTAGTTCTCCTTGGACTCTCACTTAACTCAAAATTTTGGTAATATAATAAAGCAAATGAGAAGTTAAGGACATCTAACTGGTGTTGTTTGGTGATTTAAAATAGGAACCAGGGGTT